CCCCCCCCCCCCCCCCCCAACTATACATGCTAGCTACGGCCCTGGGTGTTAGCGACGTCCCTGGCTTTAATTAATTATGTTTCTTCTATATCCTTATCAGTTTCTTCATTGTTTCACAATTTAGAATTTTGAAGAGTGGTTAAATTAAAGTCACTTTCATCAACAGTTAACAGAGGATGATTTGTCGGTTGCGAGTAATCTAAGCGATAAAGAAGCAGACCTTCACATAGACTCAGACGCAGTTTGCGAGGAAGAAATCATAGCCAGTTCAGCTAGATCTTTCTTTTACGCTCCACGATTAAGATCAAAATACACTCAGATCTCGCTGAAACACACAAGTAAATCACGCACAGTCAAAAGAAATAACAACAGAATCGCCGTGCTTTAGACAGTTATTTGATACTGCAAACAAAGTGTAGAAGCGGAAGCAACCAAATCGCAAGGATTGAATACGACTGTTAATGCAATTCTAACAACTTTAGAAGCCGATCTTACGTTAAACACCGAAGAACTACCTTCTATACCACAAACGATATCATTAGAAAATCTTGACCAAAGTAAAACTAATGCCATAACTAACCCACAGCTTACTAAATTTCCTTCAGCATTTGTGACTAAAGCGTAGAACTCATCCTACTCTAAAGCCTTTTCGTGGCAGCAAAAGCTTTCTATTGTCTTTGTTTGCAAGGTACAGTGGCCACACTTACACCAACTGAGCGATTTAAGACGCCAGCTATTCTCAACCTCGAATGCTTCATCGAAGTCGACGTCGTCTGAGGATGACTCACTCTCAATCGCTCTGATCTCTGCCCCACTGCTACCACTATTTTCGTTTAAAATAGGTTCAAACTGATACGATAACGCTTCACCTAACTGATTCTCGTGAATTTCTTCCATAAAATGTCTAGAACCGGCGAAAATTATTCACAAAAGTTAAATCTGATCAAAAGCTATAGTAGCGACAACGTAATTGTGGAAATATAATTTTCCAAAATGTGCTTTCAAAATATAATAGCGGGCGATATGCATAATTAGACTAAATTCATTCGCTCTTCACTACAAATTGAGATATTTTCATCGCAAAAAGGAAATTAAATAGAAAACAAAACAAGGCAATAAAAAATCCATTGCCGATGTTCTTTAAGCTCCCTGATAGCAGCTGTTTTCCTGAAGGATTTGAGATATGGAAGCAGCGATAGGACTTTGTTACGACGATTACTCGGTTTTATGAACTCTCAAATGAAACTCAAAAAGCTCTCTTCATTAATGTACTTAGTGATGATATTATCAAACGAATGAACAACTTAGGACAAGAAGAGTTTCAAACTCTCACTGAATCTTTTCAACGCCAGGTTTGTGGCAGTTCGAATATGTTTGTGCATGAATATGAATAAACGAGTACAAGGCTCGAATGAATCGTTCGACGAGTTTTAAATAAATGTCAATACAAGAACTGTTGCCAGAGCTCAACACGAATGTCATGTAAGGATATAATTCTCTTGGCACATCTCGTGGCTGGTATAAAGTCTCATGATATAAGAAAGGGACTTCTCTGTATTCAAGACCTTATTCTTGACAAAGCTGCCCAATATATCCAAGTAGATGAAGTTACCTCTCCCCAAGCTGATAAGTTTTTAACTAAAGTTAACAAGACTGGAGCCTCTACATACAGACAAAAATTCCACTGGAAAAGAGGGCCAGTCTCCACCTACCAAAGATGAAAATTTGCGAAAATGCAAATTTTGCATGAAGTGCCATGTTTTCAAGAAGGAATTTTGCCATGCAAAGGACTCTGTTTGTAGGGATTGTCAAAACAAAGGTCACTGGGCTAAATATGTCATGTGCTCCAAGTCCTCTACACCAGCAGGTGACTTTGTTGACCCTGACAAGAAAGTTACTGATGAATCTTCTAAGCTTGGTTCCACCACTAAACCAACTTTTAAAGTCATTTCAGTGTTGGTAAGCACTACTACACTGATTTTAAGTTCTTTGAATGTTTGCATGGCGATAAAATATAATTGATTTTGTTTGTGGAAACACCACGTAAATTTATTACTGCAAAGCTTTCGATCCGTAAGCCCGGATCTTCATCAGTGCTAATAATATGTGACTTGTTTAATTCACACGCTCTTTTATATACAAGAGTGTCGTGATCTGTTGGCTCGCGTCATTTGAAATTTAATTAAACGGCACATCAACCACGTCATTTCAAAACGTAGTGAAGTGATTCCAATTAACGCGCGCGCATCCAAGACAAGAGAAATTAATTTTGCACATTAAAGAGAGCACGCCACGTACTATCTAGTGGCTTTCCCTCCTGATCTATGGTATTGTGCTTCTCGATTTCAATTGACTCTCTCATTTTGCGAGAGAACTTATGACTATCAATCGCCAAAATGGTTGCTTCGTCCCATTTTATACGATGGTCGTAAGTCCAAGTATGTTTAGCCACAGCAGATTACACTAATTTTATTCTTGGTAACCACAACCGGAAGCAAAAATGCATGATTGATCCTGGCTGCAACATTAAATGTGTTAGTTATGATAATTGGATTACCCGTTTTTACACCCCTGAGTGCTAGCGTTGGTAAGCACTACTACACTGATTTTATTTTTGGTAACCACAACTGGAGGCAAAAGTACATGATTGATCCTGGCTCCAACATTAACTGTGTCGGTTATGATTAGATTACCCGTTTTTACACCCCTGAGTGGTCATACAATCTTGAATATGGTTCCATGAAGACGGTTGAAGATCATAACCTGAATGTCAAAGCTCAAGTTCTCCTGAAGATTTCGTAGCGTCCAGAAAATTCCACCATTTCTGATGATCAGTGGTTCTATATTGTTCATGGTGAAGATGGTATTATCGTTGGTACACTTGCCTGTCAAGCACTTGGTGTGACTGATGATGACTGGCCTATTTGGTGGTCGAACGGACATTTTGCCGAACGGATATTTTACCGAATGGACAGTTTGCCGAACGGACAGTTTGCTGAAAATAGAGATATCATCTGAACTTTATAGGTTCGTTTACACGGTTCGTTTATGTGATTAAAGTCATTGTTGATTTTCATGACAAACATTGATAGTGAAGCATAGTTTCGTTTTATATTCTTTCAAGGTTTTGACAAGTTTACCGAAATTTTGCGATATAACTAAAGAATAACATCATTCAACATCATTGATGAAGTGAAATTCGCTTACGTCGTTGTCTTTGTATACCCTTGTTTGTTTACGACCTGTCGTCAAAACAAGTTTCTAACAAATGAGTCATCCGCTGCAGAAACAAGCTACCAATAGTCAATATGGTTATGTACTGCTAACGACCATTATGCACTGCTAATGACCATTAATGGTTATTTTACACAATGGTTGAGAATTACAAGGTTGAGAAATGAGGCAAAGTCCCAAACATTTTGACGAAATAGCATCTCTATTTTCGGCAATTTGTCCTTTCGGCAAACTGTCCGTTCGGCAAAATGTACGTTCGGCAAAATGTCCATTCGGCAAAACGTCCATTCGGCAAAACGTCCGTTCAGCAAAATGTCCATTGGGCAAAATGTCTTTCGTCAAAATGTCTTTCGGCAAAGTGTCTTTCGGCAAAATGTCCGGGTACCGCCTATTTCTACACTACTTCAAAACCTCAACCATCCCTCATCAGTGAATACCCTCGACGCATCAGGAAACAACCCTCAGATATGTGACAACAAACCGACCGAAGTCGACCATCCAGTTCCAAACCCTACCACGTCTGATGATGAACTTTTGTCTGATTTGAATTGGCAACCTACCTCGTGTCCTTCTGCATCATCAGTCAAAGTCACTTCTGTTATTGCAAATGGACAGAACATTAACTATACTGAGGACACAAATTTCTCTCCACTTTAATTTGCAATCGTATAAGGATGTTTTTGATGACATAACTCTCCTGGACTGGAGATGAAAGGCGATGCCTTCAAGATTAATCTCAAACCTAGCTGATGCTCAACCCTATGCCCAAGCGAAAGCAAGGAAACGTTGCTCGCCACTGATGCATCTCGTCTGCACGGTCTTGGTTTTGTCCTTCTACAAATGGTAGACAGTGCATGGAAGCCTGTTCAAGCGGGTTCCAGATTCTCGACTCCCACCGAAAGCCGTTATGCTATGATAGAGCTGGAAGCTCTTGGTGCTTGCTGGGCCATGAAGAAATGTGATATGTTCCTTCGGGGCCTACCTCACTTCAAACTCGCCACCGATCACCAACCATCCTGAATTCGAAAGGGATTGCTGATATCGAGAATCCTCGCCTGCCAACGCCTCATGATGAAAATGCTGCCATATACGTTTACTGCAGAATGGATTAAAGGCGACGATCACCTTTCTGCAGACGCACCCTCCCGTTTTTCCGTTGATGAACCTTGTCTTCAAGATGAACTATGCGAGTCGCATGCCGACGTTGCTGTGAATGCTCACCTTTGTTGACAAGTTTACTACTGCCAGTCAGCTTCAAGAACTTCTCCACCACCACCAACAAGCCGACGATACGCTCTTGAAAGTCATCCATTACGAAGAAGCACGCCCCTTTGGTCCATTCGTCATAACCTCTACATGGCGTCTGTTGGAGAGAACTCTATCTTACTTATGAATGGCAGAACTGTCATCCCCACCCAACAGCAAAAGAAAACATTAAATAACCTTTACGAAGGACACCAAGGAATTGAAAGAACTCGCCGCCCTGCTCGTGATTCTGTATATTGGCCTGGGAGGAACCACGACATCGAAGAAATGTTAAAACGCTGCTCTAAATGCAACCTCCGTTGCAAGGACTTTCCACAAGACCGTGGGTTCGAAGATGTTCTAAATGTCGAACTCTCTTCCTGTCAATCCCAACGAACTTCTGCAGCAACAACCTCTACTCACACGACCTTGGGACAAACTAGACGTTGACCTTTATAGCCTTAATTAAGGACGGAGAATACCTTACTGTCACGAACTATTTCTCCTCCTTCACTGAAATTTATGATCTTGGCAAAGACGCAACAGCACCAGCGTTAATCAAAGAACTCACGCAATTGTTCTCTCGATTTGGTCAACCTGTTGAAGTCGTATCAGACGGTGCTGTTTGTTGAAAGTTGGAATTTTATACACACTGTATCTTCTCCTACTCACGCTCAGTCCAATGGCAAAGACGAAGTAAAGAATGTCAAGAAGCTCTTCAAAAAGTGTGGCTCTATGAATGACCAAGTTTGGAAAGGCCTGCTGGCAATTCGAAATACTCCTCTCTTATGTGGTAAAAGTGCTGCAGAATTGCTGCTTGGCAAAACACTCCACGATTCCCTCCCTCGCTATCCTGGTCCAACAACGTTGATCTCAAGAAGAAAGAAAAATATACCTATGATCAACATACTACCCCATTACCTCCTCTCCAGACTGGCACCCGTGTAGCTATTCGTTCTCCTGTCGAGTCCGATTGGTCACTACTTGGAACAATTGCTGAAATTAGACCGAATCGCACCTATACAGTACTAGGCGACCAAGGATCGACACTCACGCGTAATCCAAGATATCTAAGACTTGCAACTCCCCCTGTTGGTAACAATATATCTCAAGCGAATAACGAACAGAACCCAACCACCACGACTAATCCATTGATAACTTTATGTGCGAAAGGAAATGTGGTATTATTGCTTTTATATTATGTTACATGAACTACGTATAAACTTACATAATATATTAGGAACATTGTAAATAATTACATATAAATTAATTATAATTCCCGAGCCGACGGCGCGAAGCGCCGTGCGAGGGTACTAATTCCCCCGGCTATTTACACCCGGGGAAACGAAAGCATTAGCGAAGTCTAAAGTTCACCAAAGATCGCGGGCGTGACTCACTGTGCGTGGGTAGTCATCCTC